TTATTTTTTGTCAGACTCATTATAGTGAGTCAGAACCATCATACTTGTGTATGAAAGTCTTTGTTATATTCTTTCTATTATATATAATTTGAAGTTTTACTGTAGCCAATTATGATTTAGAGTTAAGTAGTTAAAAATATTTTTCATACTAATACAATTTGCCAGGTTGATTGTACATTATGTACAAGGCATTTTTGTGCAGGAAGTGATCATTATTTTTTAAAACAAATGATAGTCATATTCTTAAATATGCGTATTAAAGTTATGAGCTTTCAACTTTATAAGGCATTTTATTTAGAACCCTCACTTTAGCATATGAGGCATTTCTTTATTTTTACAAGAACTGCAGAAATACTGATTTTGTTAGTACTTGGAAGGTAGTAGCACTGTCATCTTTCATGGAATTCAGGAATATGAATAAAAGGGATTACATATTATATTCATGGATCTTAATATTTGAGCCTTCTTTAACTCCTAAATCTGGAGGCAGCAATATCTTCTTGTAGCATACATGAGCCACACTTGTCAAAACAGCTCCTCAATTGGGGTTCTTCAGGAGAAATAAGCTTTAAAGTCCTAGGGCAACAATTTCATTAAATGAATGAATTTTACTATGCATCTCGAATAGTACTATATATTGAGTTTGGAAGAACTGTAAACATAGCTATCATATAATTTTATTCAGGGCTTCTCACCTTAGTTGAGCTTATATTCTCTCCTCTTTTGGTTTTCAGTTACAGATTTGATATTATTGAATTCATTAATTCACCCAGCAACTATTTACTCCTATATACCAGGGCTTTTGGCAGACTCTGAAGATACGATAGTGAACAAAAATGGACATGACTTTGCTTTCATGGAGAATATAGTCTGGTAGGAAAGACATTTGGTAGTCAAATAGTAGGCTATATCTTAGTAAATATATAATTAAAAACCGAGAGAAGTGCTCTGAAGGAAAAGAAAGAGTTTACATGGGAACCATATTTTTGAGTTCACCTGGGATTATTGGCCAAACCTGGTGACAAGGATGTAGAGCTCCTTGGACTGAAAAACATGGGACTTTGGGCATGTTGTCTTCAGAAAGAGTTTTCAGCTGCTTTTTTTTTTTCTTTGAAAATATTTTTTTAAAATTTTTATTTAATTGATTATATATATATATATATATATATATATTATAGTTTAAATACAGCTGTTTTTATTGAGCAATTGCTGTCACTGTTTGCTTTTACCAAATGAAGACACCATTAGGTCTAAACCACATAACCAAGTTTATACTGGAAAACTTTAAAATACATTTGTGAAATAATGATTCTAATTTTGCCTCTCATTTCATCAACACTAACTCTTAAGTAAGTGTAAGTTTAGTTAAGTTTTTTCTGAGAGACAATATTCTCTTTAAATTCCCCAAAGGGCCTACCAAGGCATTTGTATAATTAGTTCACAATTATTAATTAAATTTAGTATTGCATAATATTTTGTTTTATCCTACCTGAGTAATTCTTTAAGTTAGATATGGATTTACTTTATTGTTGCCAGAACTGAGGACAGAATTTAAAAGATTTGAATTTTGAATGGTCAACTACAGATTAGGAAAAATACGACAGATTTTTTTTAAGCTAGGACTTTATAGATTAAGCATATTTTTAGTGCGATCATTAAGTTCCGAACTGATTCTTAAAAAATGTAGAGACAGCTATTCAGGAGGCTCAGGAAGATGATCCCAAGCTTGAGGCTTGGGAATTTAGTGAGACCCTATATCAAAATTTCTAGAAAGGGGCTGGGAGCTTGGGATGTAGCTCAGTGGTAGAGTGCTTGCCTTGCACATGTATGGCCCTGACTTCAATCCTCAGCAACAGAAAACCAAAATAAGTGTAGGAACACAAATATGCTGAGAAAATGGGTTTAAGTCTTGGATCTGTCCATTTTTTAATTACTATGAATCATTTTACTTCACTAAGTCTTGATTTTGGCAAACAGACTAGAGATCTGTAAGGTCTTTGCCCACTCTAAAGCTTCCTAAATGCCCACTGTGCAATGAATTATGTGTTTTTATGCATTTACTCTGAACTAGAAACCAGTAACCTATATTTACTATTCCTAATTTTGATACTGATCTGAAATAAATGACTTAATATGAATAGCATTTATAGAGAATAAAACTACTAAATGGAAATTCTGTGAGATTTTGGTTTTTAATCTTAATCATTTATAGAAAAAATTAGAAATCAAACAGAACCATTTTTATATATCTTTTTATCCTTTGGTATGTACATAGGGAAAGAAAATGAATTCAACATTTGGCATAAATTAAAAAATAGTTAGTAAGGTAGAATTTTCCCCAAACATCCTGGGCCATAGTCAGTGTTCAACCAGTAATTATTCATAAAATGGATAAATAAACAGTCAATAGTAGATGATCAAGCATTTTCCTAGTTATGATTTAGCATTATAACCACCAAAAGTTATATAAAACAAATTTCCTGAGGTAGGTATAATTATTAAGCAGTGAAATGTTAATGGACACTTTACTTGATTAACTTTTAATTCTATGAGAGCAATAATTCCCCAAGGCTTGTAAAATCTCTTTAAATGGGCTTATTGCCCTGCTTTGAATCCATATATAAAAAGCATGTACATATATTCTTTAAGGTTCAATTGGTTTTACAGTGAACATCTAAAAATTCAGCTATCAGAAGAATAACTGTGATGTCTGAAAAAATATTACTTGGTATACACATGTGCACACATGAATTATATCTATATCTCTATATCTCTACATATAATCTATCTTATCTATCTATCTATCTATGTATGTCAGTATTTAATGAGTACTTGCTCTATGCCAAGTATTATCATAAGTGTATATGCTCATTTATTCTAATAAAAATAAACTATCTCCTTTTTAAAGATGAAGAAATGAAAGACCCTGTAAGATAAAGTGATTTTATTTGGTGAGAGCTTAACGGGAGGTTGCTTTTACTTTCCTAGTGCTTTAAGAGATCATTCTTCCTTAGGAATGTCTCCATTTCCTTCCCCTTCACCCAGAGCTGCCAAAGTTTAAGGGGAAGTTTGAGTAGGACTATTAATAAAAAGATAGCCTATCTATCTATAAAATTGATTTACAAACACACAATCCATAGGATGTACATTTCAAATTGTTTTTTTCCTCTTGATAAAAACTTAACAATTAAGGATACTTTATATTAGTCATGTTTTAAAAAGTGCTTTGTAGTGAATTAGGTATTTGATATCTTAACAACAATCATATGAAGTATTTTAATTATTATCATTCTCATGATAAGATGGTTAAACTGAGGCACAGAGATGTTTAAATTTCCCAAAGTCAAATATTTAATATATACAGGAGCTAGGATTCAAATCTCAAGACAATTTCATAGCAGAATCCATGGCTTTAACCATTATGCTAGGTATAATAGTATAGGAAACTGATGCTGTATTCAGTGATTCATTGTAGTTAATACTACTGGCCACTAATGTCTAAGTCACAGTTGTAGGAAGTTGTGACTTTCTACTATGTTAAGCAGCTTATATGAAAATGACATTCACAACTTTGAAATATTTAGATGCAGGTGCTAAGTTACTAAGCTAATAAGTCAGCATAAGAAGGTCAGGATATTCAATAAGGTGCTATAACAGCAACTTTGATTGCATAAATAAATTTTAGAGTTCCCTATGGCATATATCATTTACCTGGTGACGAGTGAAGACTAACAGTTGATCTTGGTGAGAACTGTCATGAATGTGAGCCTCATATCACTTATATCAAGTGTTGTTTTGAAGTATTGTCTTTGTCAGCTTCTGGGTTTGCTCTTGTACCCTTAAAACCACACTCAATTTTATGAGGTGCCTAACTGCTGATGAAGAGTGAAGAGCGAGGGATGAGAAGTTATGGAAACAGATAGAAGTTAAGAAATATCAAAGTACAGGTTATATTTAACAGGGGATGTAACTCAGTGGTAGACTGCTATTTCAGCTGAGTAAAGACTTAGTTCTGTCCTTTCTAGTACTGCAATAAACTTCAATGAAGTTTTCATTGCTTGTTGAATTTTGCTACGTGTGGTTTCTTCATACTGTGGTGAGAACCACTATAGGATGCTTATAGGAGTAACAGTAGTAAGTTGTAGTGAATTGTAGGAAGGCATTTTAGCAAAACTACTGAGAAAAAATTATATATTTGGAAAAAGCCTCCAAAATCCCTCCTGGGATTTTACATAATGTTCCCAAAGTTTGCAAGAATACTAGGAATATAATATTGCTTATTTACATTTGAGTTCATGTTTTTAGCAGATGAGTTTTTGCGATGGCTTTATCTAACAGCAGCATGTTCAGGTTTTGCTTTTTGATTCTTTGGATATTCCATGCAAATGAACTGAACACCTGGATAATTTTTTCCCCCAAATCTATTAGCCCTTCCTTGGGTAGGAATACATTTCTGTACTTGGTCAAAATTTTTTTGTGACAAGAATTGACAGCCCATCTTAGTTTAGCCCTCTTTAGCAGAGAACCAATAGCCCAGCACATTGTTGGCTCTACTTCTATCAAGATTTTGAGAGACACTAATTATTCTGAGAACAGAAGAATTGTTATCCCCAGCTTTCAGAGGCTGTCTTTCACATGTTGTTATGTGCCCAAGAATAAGAATTAGATTTTATGTGACAGTGAGAGAGACAAATTCTACTAAAGGTATATTGAGAAGTAAGTTTGATGTTAAAGGGGATTCAACAGTTCTGGAATTTAGGAATCTAGATTCTTGAGACATCAGGTGACATCATTCCTCACAGAATAAATTATGAGTTTAAAGCTGTCTTGCTTTGCAGAGAAATGTTATTTGGGATCCCGATTACTTTAGAAAAGGATAAATATAGTTATCATTTCTATGAAATAATATTTAAAGAAAGGAATACTATTTTCATTTGCATAATGAAACACTATGTTCAAACTAAAAGATAAAAAACATTCTATGTCATACATATTCTTACCTGAAAACTTAAATGAGGAAGAATCTATAAATAATGACCCAGTTTGGCCCTTTAGTTTTTCACGTAAAATTGTTTCAGTTCTGTCCCAAAATTTTGCTGCATTATTTTTGTAACAAGATTTAAACTTCAGTATAGCATGTATTACCACTTTCCCTTTGGCTTTGCTGCAAAACATAAACAGACAAATTATATTTTCATTAGTGAGCCTCTATAACTCTTCAGGGAAGACATAGGGAGTTTGTAAATAACAAGTAGAGATTAAGACAGTGCCAAAGTGGAATCATTCTATCCTGTACTAACTATCCCAGTCTTCCATAAGGGGGTGGAAGTGGCACTGTGGACCTCATGGAATAGTGTAAAGAGTATGATTGAGATTCATGGGAACTGAATTTGTCTTTTAGAACTACTATTTGCCAACTCCTACACTACAGTAACCTGTTTACATTTTTTGTACTTAAATTTCTCATCTCTAAAATTTAGATGATAATTCTATTTACTGGGTTATTATAGGCATCATTACAGATTTTACACATTTTATAATGGATATAGAGATATTTAAAAAAATCTCAGAATAATGAACAAAAATTATTTATTGATGTAAATGTAACTTTGTGTTATGAATCCATTATGGACTCTATAGGAAAGGCTAGTAGAAAATAATAAAACAAAAGAAATGGATTAAATGAGAAAACAATTTATTACTTTGGTTTTCTTTTAATTGAGGCATACTTTGTTATAGTGAACCATTTATCTTTTACTTATTGGAAATCAAGGCTGAGAACAAAGTTATTTAACTGAACTTATTTTATTTGTCTTTCTGATTTGAAGATGGAAATGTATAAACCCAATATTTTACCAGTGGGTTACTACTACTGGCTTGATGGAGTGCCTATTCTGCTCTGCTCTTTATTTCTCTGCCTCTTTACCTCTTCCTAAAAATTTTTCTGCATTTATACATTCGTATATCTGAAAATCAAAAACCCAGGGCTTTATGTAACTTAAGATTCTAAAAGCATCCACTTCTAAACCTTTATAACATTTAGGAGCAAAACTAAAAACAATAATCAAAGTCCAGGATTTTCTCGGTTACTTATTATTTAAATTATTCAGAATAATTTAAAATAAGTTAGTTAATTTCTATATCACCCATTATTACTTTATGTTTTAAGGTATATCTGTATCAGATGTCCTTCCTTTTGGTGATATCAATCTATTATTCTTGTTTCTTTTGAATAGTATTAAACCATTAGTAATTATATGTCAATTATTATATTCATTAAGTATTTTCATCTCTTTTTCTGCTTTCATGTTGCTCACAAGTGCCTGATCTGCAGGGAAAACCCCTTTGTTCTTTATGGAATAGGCAGGACATATCATATTACTCTGTTTATTTTAAGTAATTTGTCAAATTGTGGATGTCACCCTGAACTTTTCTCCTGGGTCAAATAACACTAAAACCAAGCTAAATATAGACATGTATTCTTATTCTGATATCATTAGGGTCATAGGATCCTCTTTATTACTGGACACATTAACTAAAAGATATTTTACTTTTATTCTATTTACTAACAAAATTATCTTTAGTTTTATATGACAAATATTTGTATTTCTTTGCCATATAGAATTTTCCTTTCCAATGCTGAACTTTCTATTTTTCTTCTATTTAACAAAAGTACATTAGTATAAACAACATGCCACACAGAGTTCTAGGTGTCAGAGCTATGTCAGCTTATAAAACCACAAAGTCCCTGCTCTCAGGTTATTTATATTCTAGTAGGAGAGAGAGCTTTAAGGAGGATGTCTTAGAATTGATACCCTAATGACAAAAAGGAGTGGGTCATGCTGTGAGCTGGTTGAGGAACATTCCAGAAAGGAGACAAGGGCAAAGGCTCTGGCCAAGATAGACTTAATAGTTCCTTTAACTTTATTAAACTTTATTAAACACAGGCTTTTACCTGATTATAGACCCTAATATTTCTTCACTTAGAGCATTTCCTTTCAAAACTTGTAATTATAAATTCTCTCTCTGTTCCTTTGAAGTATGTGTTAGTTAGTCTTTCAAAACCTCTTGCCAGTTTTACAACCCAGGAAATGACTTTCCCAAGGACCTGGAAAGCATCTCTTTGAAAAGTAACTATCAAAGGAGATGGCAACCCTATCTCCCAGTTTCTGTGAGAGGGTGGGAGCCTAACTTCAGTGGACACCTTGCTCCAAGGTGTAAAAGTACAAGTTTACTTTTCCTTTTGGTATGCACAGATACCTAAGCTGTCCTTCTGACCTCTACCTTTGAAAAACTCTACCAGTTTTTGTCTCAGCAGAGTGAAGACTTAGTTCTATCTTTCTACTATTGCAGTAACCTTCAATGAAGTGTTCATTGTTTGTTTCATTTTGCTAAGTGAAGTTTTTTTGCTTTGATAGTACTGTGGAAAGAACCACTCTAGTATGCTTACAGGACAGACAGTAGTAAGTCAGAGTGTATATAAAGTTGGGAGTGAGGGTGAGGGTGAGTTGACATCAGAGAAAGGGGCAGGGATTTACATAAAGTCCTGTGAATTGTACAAATTAATTTGGAATTTGTGGGAAATTGTCAGAAGGCATTAACAGGGGAATAATATGTTTTTCTGATTCATTTTGCTTGCTATGTGGTGAATGAATTGTGAATAGAGCAGGAGCAAAAGCTAGAGATTTAGATAAACTGGTGCAATAATCTATATAAGATTGCCTGGGTTCAAATTATAGTATTATTATTTATTTATTATAATAAATCATTTTTATAATAATAATTATTTCCTTTCTCAAGGGATGGAAAGCCATATCTTTAAAATGTTACCACGAAAGGAGTTTGTAGGAATAATGGTTATGTTAGTTTATGTCACTTTGGCTTAACCTATCTTTTCTTTGGTTGCTTTGTCTGTAAAATGGAAAACTAAAATATACCAACTATATATGAAACCAGGTTAAATGAATTCTCTGAGGGTACAGATTAAAAGCATGGATAACTTAAAAAATAAACTAAGAAACAGAATATCATGAGTTCTAGTTTTATGATGAGGTAGATTTCAAAGTGTATTAACTTTTTAATTCTATTTATAGTTATTCTTTTCCTCCTGAATACAGAAGACAGTTCTGAATTATATCTCATTTTCATTCTATAAATAGTGTTACTCCAGATTAACTTTTTTTAGATAGGCACTAAAAGCAATTATATAACACATTTACTGCAGCCACTAAAGTTTTTATTACAATTCTGAATAATTTATCTCAATTTGTTATGGATTTGATTTATTTTAATCTAAATATTAAATCTTAGTCTTAAAACTATCTAGGCATATTTTCTAATTATGTTTTAAAAGTATACATAGTAAGAGGGGCAATTATAAGGTTACAATCATTGATTTAATGTCCCATATACTAAAGTATATAGATTATGTTTTTGGTAGTTGTTATTGTTGTGAAACATGCAGGTTCGGAGACATTTTTCTAGCATTTCATGTAAATTTTCATGCAGGGATATGAAATTATTGCATTTCAAGAGTGACTTCTCCTGCTGCATGGTTTACTAATTTATAGTGAATATTTTCTCTTCTTTTCAGAGAAATGTTCCCTCCTATATCCCCTTAAGGCAGACTGCATTAGAATTAATAACACTAAAGAATAATTTGAAATGTGATATTTAGCTTTATGCTTCTTTTTATCTTTTAAAATTTTATTGGTGCATAATAATTATGCATAATAATGGAATCCATTGTAACTTAGTCATATATACATGTAACATTTTGGGGGCAATTTCATTCACTAGTACCTTATCTTTCCCTCCCCTCCTCCCTCTCACTTCCTCTATGCCACTGGTCTCCCTTCTCTTTTTATGAACAACCTTTTTTCACTATTTTTCTCTCTAGTGTCCACATATGAGAGAAACATACAAGCTTCGAAACTCTGAGTTGCTCTTATTTTTATTAGAATAATTCTATAAACATGGGTATTCATGTCTTGCTAAATAGTATGCTAATTTCAGTTCTTTTACATAAATACTCAAGAGTGGTATAGCTAAGTCATATGAGGAACCATCTTTTGAGGAACCTCCATACTGATTTTCATGGTAATTGTGTTCATTTCCCCTATATCCTTTCCAGCATAATTTTTAGTAATATTTTTTGATGATTACCATTGTAATTGAAATGAGATAAAATCTTAGAGTAGTTTTGATTTGCATTTCTCTACATGCTAAAGATGTTGAGCAATAAAGATATATTCGTTGGCCTATTTATTATTTTGAGAACAGTCTGTTTAGTTCATTTTAATTGAGTTATTTCTTTTTTTGTTGTTAAGATTTTAGAGTTCTATATATATTCTGAATATTAATCCTCTGTCAGAGAGTAGCTGGCAAAGATTTTTTTTCCCATTTTATAGCTCAGTCTTCATGCTCTTATTTTCTGTGCTGTGCAAAACTTTTTAATTTGATGCAATCCCATTTATTAATTCTTAATATTCTTTTCTGAGCTTTAGGAATCCTATTAGGGGAAATCATTGCCTGTTACTTTATGTTGGAGTGTTGACCCTTTGTTTCTTGTATCAGTTGAAATTTCTAGTCTAATTCCCTGTACTTTGATACATTTTGAGTTGACTTTCTGCAAGGTGAGAGGAAGGAATTTAGTCTCATTTTTCTATATATGAATATCCAGTTGTCCCAGCACCATTTGTTAAACAGGTTGTCTTTTCTCTAACGTATGATTTTGGTACCTTAGTCAAGGATCTGATTACTGTACCTGTGTGGGTTTGTCTCTGTGTCTTCTATTCTATTCTATTAGTCTGCTTGTCTGTTTTTATGCCAGTACCATGCAATTTTTGTTACTATATCACTGTAGTACAATTTATGATCAGGTATTATAATGTCTCTAGCATTGTGTTTTTTTTTGGCTTAGAATTTTTTGATATTTTGGGTCTTTTATTCTTCCATATTAATCTTAGGATTGTTTTTTCTAAGTCTGTGGTATAATTGGTATTTTGATAGGGATTGTATTGACTCTGTAGATTGTTTTTTGTAATATGGCCATTTTAACAATATTAATTTTGTCTATTCATGAACATGGGAGGTCTTTCCAACTTCTAGTGGCTTCAGTTTCTTTTTTCCTTTTATCCCTACTTTATTTATATTTTTAATAAGAATGGTAGACTAAAATATATATACCAACCATATAGGATTGCAACAAATCCTATATAGTTGAAATGCATATAGGCTTTTTTTCAAAGGCTTTCTGTGAGATGATTATGATTTTTGACCATAATTACATTTATGTGGTAAATTATACTTACTGATTTGATTTAGATATGTTGTATATGTTGAAGCATCCTTGAACTTCTGGGAAAAAAACAATTTGATCATGATGTACAATCTTTTTAATGTGTTGTTACTCCAATAAGCATACAAGAGTGGTTCTCACCATAGTACTATCAATACAGTGTTCTATTATTTTCATTGCAGAGGTGTTTCACCTCCTTGGTTAGAATATTACTAGGTATTCTACTTTTTTGAAACTACTGTGGATGAATTTATTTTTCTGATTTCTCTTTTCAGTGAATTCATTAGTATAAAGAAAAGCTTTGATTTTATATGCTGATTTTGTATCCTGCTATTTTGCTTAGTTTACTTATTAGCTCTATAAGTCTTCTCATGGAATTTTATGGATCTTCTAAGTAGAGGATCATATCACCTGCAAACAGTGATAATTTGACCTCTTCCTTTTTATCCCTTTTATTTCCTTTTCTTGCATAACTGCTTAGGATAAAATTTCAAGTACTATATTGAATGGGAGTGGTGAGAGTGGACATCATTGTCTTGTTCCTGGTTTTAGAGAAACTGCTCTCATTTTTTTCCCATCGAGTATGATGTTGACTTTGGGTTTGTTGTATATAAACTTTATGAGGTTGAGGTAAGTTTCCAGTACCTAGCTTATTTCCTTTTATTCCAGGGTATATTAGCAATGGGCACTAGTGCCAATTTAATTATCTAGTTGGTTTCTCAATTATTCATGAGACTAGAAATAGTATTTTATTCATGAATCTATAAAGCCCAAGAGAGCACAGGACAGTTTATTGCATGAGTGATTAATATATTTTTTAAAAATTGAATTCCATTAACTTTACTATAAGATTATTAAGGCAATATTCTGGGTATTATTTCCTGTTGGGTTTTCATGACATAGCTAAATGGGGACACATAAAAGGTGGCAAATAATTACAGAAAATTTTGTGCTAACTGGGGTTTGGTGTGTTTATTGGTGATAAAAGATAAGGGATACCTCGCTCTTTGCTTTCCTTTTTTTCCAGGAACCTCTTTCTCCCAGAGGGTAAATTCCTAGAGGTATGACTTTTTTCTCATTCAAATATAGAACTTTTTTGTATGTAGACTCCTGACCATTTGAACTTTCTATTTCAATTTTCTGTTCTTAAGCTATGAAATTTGATTTCTATACGTCCCAGGATAGTAAAGAAAAGAAGTGAGAATGGTTGAGTGAAAAATTTTTTTCACATGCATATACATGTGAAATATACATGTATACTTTGTGTGTGTTAAGGAATGTTGCAAACTTCAGAACCTTAGTGTCTATCTATTATTACCATGTGGGAATGGGGGTTCAGTGTTTTCCCAGATTGTGATTTTTTTTCACATAATTTGAAATTTGTTTTTAGGTAAAATTTTCTAACTTTAACATTTAGTTCATTTTAGGAATCTATGTGCAAACCAAAATTATAACTGTAAGCTAAATTTGGCTTATTGGTTACTAGTTTGCTAATACAGGACAGATATTCTATACATGGCTGGTTTATCTTGCCTATTCTTTTTAATTTTTATTTTTAAACAAAATCACAATTTTAGATTTGCTATTGGACTCTGTGCCCTCAAATAAATGAGCCAAACTATTTAACATTCATCTGATGTCATAATCAGATGAGATTTTTGCTTGTGGTTTAATAAATCTAGCAGATCTTAAATCCTTTTTATTTTATTTTTTTGCATTTGAAGTGCTGGTGGTTTTAATACACCAAATCAAATTTATTTTGATCTTTTAACTATGCATCAAACAAAAGCATTCTGTTGTGTATGAGATGGACAAAAGTCTGTACCTCTCAGGCTATTGAACATACCTTACTTGGACAACATGAGACTTGATGTACTGTCTTCTCAGTTTGGATTCATTAAATGTTTCATTTATCTGTTAAAAAGTAAAATGGATGATTATTATGTTTTCTTTTTAAGTTATCATTTTAGTAAACTTCAACTATAACAAAAGCAAACAGAGTAGTGTAATAAAATATGTATCCATAATTCAGCTTGACCATTTATTAACTTATGGCCGAATCTGTTTCATTTTACTTTTCAATCTCACAGGAATTAAAAATTTCTTAGTATTATCACCTATTCAATGTCCAAATTTTCCCAGATTATTGGGCATGATAGGACAGAATATTCATTTTGAAGAGGTAAATTTAAAGCACCCAATTGACATTGTTTGCATTTTACATGCAGACTTTGATTTAATATTAATGCAATGAGTCTTAGTAGAAATATTCCCAGGGGGGATGTTTCTAATTTTTTGTTTCTGCAAGGGAAGAGCCCTATAATACCTGGACTGCAATATATTTTTCCTTCTTTTTCAATTGCATTTTACTGACAGGTTTAAAAAATGTGATGTAGTAGAAATCTCTTAGAGAAGATTTATAAAATAAGAATCATTTTCTTAACTTTTCTCCTCCCCTCTCTCCAATCTCATGAATGACTTCCTGTAGCAGGAACTTCACACATCACTATACAATTGCACTCATACTTGGCAAATACATGCCTCATACAAAGCAACTTGTTGGATTTCACAAAAGATTTAATTTATATTTTTCCTTCTCCAAAGCAATTAAAATGTGTTCGTTTATTAAAAGAAAAAAAAAAAAACTCGTGAAGGTAAATCTATGAATGGGGTAGATAGAGTCATGTTTTCTTGGTGACTCAATGGAAGACAGATAGTAAGCATGCCAATAAATAAATATATAATTATGGCAGTTTGAGATGGTATTAAGTGGTATGAAAAATGTAAAATAATGAGATGAAGTGACTCAGGAACAGTATTTGAATGATCAAATAAGGCCTTTTGGAAGAAGTGACATCTCAGTGAAAACTGAAAGATGAAAAGCTGATAATCAAGGGGAAAAGAGTTTAGTTTTCCAGATGGAGTGAACAGCAGTGTGAAGATCCTAGGTAACAATGATATTGGTATATTTGAGGGATAGAAGGAAAGTTGTTGTGACTCAAGTCAAGTGAGTAAGCGATAAAGTGTTTAAGAGTTTGGATGTTATTTCAAGATACACTGAATGCAGGGATCCTGAAAAGTGAGCAAGTAAATTAAATTATATTTTTTCCATTCCCAATTATGATATATGTTTTTCCTGGGGCCAAGTAGAATTTAGATTTATGTGAGTCAAGGAAGTAAGGAGTTGGTAAAGAATTTTTTCTCCCATATGCCAGGTAAGAATCCAGAGAACAGTCCGAGAGCCTTATGTAAAGAACAAACCACCACAGTCTCTTGGAGTAACCAGGCTAGGGGATGTTTGTGAATACCTAGGAATAAAGCTGACACTGGGCTTCTTTGAGGCTATGGAAAGGCCCATAGTAGTCAATATGTGATTGAAAGGGGAGGGTAAACCTTCCTTGCACCTGAGGTTAGTTATACAGTAGGCAGAAAATGAGGAGCCAGGAAACTTCCTTTGGTATGGACAGATAGAGTGCATGTTGTGCAAACCTCAGCCAGTTAGGATTTAAACACTTCTCACTTTCCATCTTATGGGGCTACCTCAATAACAAGAATCTGGCCCCAATAAGCCAGCAAGAAAATATGATAATGCAAATAAAGGAGCCCAGCAGATAGAGAGGACATAAAATGGATTAGGTGCTAATCAAATCACAACTGCTTCAGGAAACAGGTAGCAACCTGAACAATAATGGCAAAAAGCCCACATAAGAATCCTCAGGCACAGAATGAAAAGAAAAAAGCAAAAAAACCAAAAAACTATATGATACAAAACCCCGAAATTTTCAAGATTAAAAATTCAGTCAGTCTATTTAAAATAATGACTATTTTTCCTGAGATTTGAATTTGTGGTTTGGAAGATTAAATGGAATAAGTATCTAAAAATATCTCAAATAATAATAAATGATATTAATAACTAATATTACACACCTATCAAAAAGTATAATACAAACTGTTGTGGGTGAAGATGGAGGAAGAATACTCAAATTTACTAATGTTAAAAATGTGAGTTATTTCATCCTTGGAAAATAACCTGGAAGCATTTCATAAAATTAAAATCTTCATTTGATTTAGAAATCTTAGTAGAAAATTGTCAAATGTAAAAAAAAATGAGAAAGTAAATAGATTTTTTTGCAATGTTGATTGTATTAGTCAAAACCTTGAAATAAAAGTGAGAACATATAAAAACACTATTCTATATTCATATTAGCAAATATTTTGGGATCATTGAAAAGAATACATTAAATCAGCATACCTCCAGGGCTGAGCAGTTGAAATGTTCAACATCTCTAACAATTAAAGAAATGCAAATTAAAACTACACTGAGAATTTCACTTCATTCAGAATGGCAATTGTCAAGAATAAAGTAACAATAAATACTGATGAGGATGTGGGGAAAAAGGCACACTCATACAGTGCTGGTGGGACTGCAAATTGGTGCAATCACTCTGGAAAGCAGTATGGAGATTCCTCAGAAAGCTTGGAATGGAACCACCATTTGACCCAGCTGTCCCACTCTTCAGTATATATCCAAGGAGTTAAAGTCAGCATACTACAGTGATGCAGCCACATCAATGTTTATAGAAGCTCAATTCACAGTAGCTAAGCTATGGAACCAACCTAGGTGTCCCTTCAACAGATTAATGGATAAAAAAATGTGGTATGTATATATACACAATGAAGTATTACTCAGCTGTAAGAAATGACTTTATGACTTTTGACAGTAAATGGATGGATCTGGAGAATATAGGCTGTGAAATAAGTCAATTCCCCCCACCAAAAAAAAAAAAAAAAAGGTCAAATGTTTTCTCTGATATGCAGATGCTAATACACAACAAGGGTGGGGGGGAAGGGAAGAATAGAAGTTCAGAGGATTAGACAAAGGGGAATGAAGGGGGTTAGGGATGGGAATAGGGAAAAATAGTAGAATGAGTCAGACATAACTTTCCTGTGTTCATATATGAATACACAGCCAGTGTAACTCCACATCATGTACAACCAGAAGAATAGGATCCTAATTAGAATAAGTTATGTTCCATGTATGTATGATATGTCAAAACACACCCTATCTACTGTCATGTATATCTTAAGAAGAACAAAATTTTTTTTTAAAGAATACATTAGACCTTTACATTGAGTTGGAGGAATTTCTATGAGGTTTTACTGAGAAAAGTAATTTTTTTATAAGACTTTGTATAATTAACCCATTATGGTAAAATACTGACAAACATCCATCCTTATCTTTTGTTTTTCTACATAAGCTAATATAACCAAAGATGAAAATATAGGAAGATATACACTATATTGTTAATATGGGTTATTTGGAGGTGGAGTTTTAGGATACGTGTAGAGGAAGAGAGAGGAATGGGAAAAGGCCAGAAAAAAAATTCTGCACTGTAAAAAAACCCATTTTATATGCTTTGATCATTTTATCCTCTTATATAAATCTTATATTTCTCATTTCTTCTCATGTTTATATCTTTATATAAATTCAAACAAAACTGAAAGGCTTTGGAAAACTTTATGCTGGTTAATGATGTTATTTGATTTTAATTTAGAAAAGATCACCTTTGCTACTGTGTGGAAAAGAGATTTGGGAAAATTAGGGTAAAAACAAAGGAAATAGGAAGCAAATGTTACTGAAAGGGAACACAGCTTCAAGAGAAATGTTTTTAAAGATGATGGTTTGTGAGATGATATTATCTCTGAAGAAAAGATCATGAAATAACATACTGCATTCTTAGAAAGCAATTATTCTCATCTTTTATTTCTATGGGAAAGGGAGAATCTGATAAAAAAAATGAAATAATACAGTTAATTATAAGCTCATAGTAATTCCAGTGTTAGCTTATCTAGGTCCCAGAAATCATTCTGATAATTCCCTTAAATCTGCTTTTTCCTCTCCAATAAATTCATCATTTTTCTTTTGTTTCACATACTTAATGCCCCCTTCTTGTCCCCCCCCACCATTGCCCATCTGCCTTCTCTTTTCTTTTCTTTTGTTTGTGGTACTAGGGATTGAAACCAGTGAACCCAGGGACTCACACATTTCTAGGCAGACCCTGGACCTCTGAGCTATATCCCAAGCCCTTCTCTTTTTCAAATACCATTTGGATATGTTCAACATTGACTGGGGTCTGTTTTTGAGGAGGATTAGGAATTAGGAAAATAAGGTACAGAGAGCATACTTATAGCTATAAAGACAAGACAGAATTAGATTATTTCTTTAGGTGTTCAGAGATAGAAATCAACATTTTGAATTTGAATTGATTGAATTAACATCCTAGAATTGAAAATAATGGATTCATAGAATTTTAAATCTATAAAGAATTTTAAAATACTTTATCCAGTTATATTCTTCAAATTTATAAATAGAGCTGTGTCCATGCTAACTACTTATGTTATATAGTGATTGTGCCAAATATATAAGTGATATTACTCTCTATATTTTTTGATTACCAGCCAAATTGCCTTAATACTTTTACTGAATTTTTGTTTGGTGACACATACCCATAATCTCAGAGGCTGAGGAGGATGAGGCAGGAGGATCACAAGTTCAAGGCCAGCCTCAGCCATTTAGCAAGGTTCTAAGCAACTCAGTGAGACCCTCTCTCAAAATAAAAAATAAAAAGAGTTGGGAGTGCAGATTATTGATAAAAGTTCCAATAAATAAATAAATAAAAAGAAAGAAAGAGCCAGACGCAATGGCATATGCATATAATCCCATTGGCTCAGGTGACTGAGGCAGGAGAATTTTAGAGTTCAAAGCCAGCCTTATCAAAAGTGAGGTGCTAAGTAACTCAGTGAGATCCTGTCTCTAAATAAAATACAAAATAGGGTTGGGATGTGGCTCAGTGATCAAGAGTTTAATCCCGTGTACTCCCCAGAAAATAAAATAAAGAATAAAAGGAAGAAAG